GGCAAATGTCACCAGATGCAAACAAGAAGGTGCTGATAAATCAGAGGGGGAGGTTTGTCACACCAGCCTTTCTGGGTACAGGGCAGTCTATCCACAGGTTTACAGCCACCTGTTACACTCTGCACTGCACAATGGAAGTGTTTCACCTCAGCAGGTCCCTAAGCCCTGCCAGTAACCTCGAATGAAATACAAAAGTCCCAGAAAGGAAGACAAAATAGGAAGAGACAGGTTGCAGAAATTCAAGGGAATAACGGGGTGCTAGAATGCTACTTTCCATACAATGCATTCCCCCAGTGGTTTTGTGTAACACCAGTGGCACAGAAGAGATCTCCAAAAATGGGTGTTGCAAAGTTATCCTAAAGACACTGAACGGCACTAAAGTAATGTAAACAGATTGCAAAGGAGAGGAAAAAAACCCACACAGAAAACCCCTTCTTTTTAAATAACACCTTTCAAGATGTTATGCTTCCACAGGCAGGTGAAAACAGTTTCAGTCTGATTAGTGACAAGAAGTTATAACAGAACAAAAACCACTCTTCCCCACAGGTGGACTTTTGCAAAAAGTCCTTTACCGAAAAAACAAATCAAAACAAAAACTTCAAAACCAATTTCCTGTCGGGGAACCACTTTGCTCTTTCCTCCACCAAGCACTTTAACCATTTTGAACAGATAACAAGTATCCCATGACAAGATTGTGCCCCAGATACTCCAAGAGACATAAAGAAAAGTTCACCATTTCTGAAATAAACACTGACTTCCTGAATGAAGACTTCAATGATTTAAAGAACTCAGAGGTGCTATACCTTTTTTAAAAATTATTGTTAAAGCTACAAAATATTATCGTTTAAAAGAAGACAAGAACACCCTCCCTGTGCCAAACCCACCAGTTTCAGAGCCAGTGTCACTCCAAGGTACAGAGAACATCACCGGAGCATGTAACTTACAGAAATACTCTTCTAGGGAAGATTATTCTTAGATTATTATTATTATAAGGAAGATACTCCCTCCCACTTGACACACACGACGCAGTCTCCGGCTCCAGCCCTCACTCACCCTGCATCCAGCACATCCGTGTGTCACCGGGAATGTGAGGGGAAACAAAGGGCCAGCCACCGACACCTTCAGCTTTGGGGCAGGGAGAAGAGCTCTGCCGAGCTGACTCATCTGTACAAATCACCTGCTCTTTCTAAACCTGCTCTTTCTTCCTCTTCAAGGATTTAGAAATCCCGCTGGAGCGGCCACTCCCACATCCCTCCGCCGCTGCGGGGCTCGGGGCTCCCACCACAGCCGGATTAACTCTTTCCACTGCCCGGCCAACACCGCCCGTGTCCCGCAACCCTCACCAGAAACAGAGGGCGAGACGCTGCCCTTCACCACCCAGCCCAAAGGCAGAGAGAACTTTTTGTGGTTTTAGGAAATACCAGCTGAGCGGGAGGGAGGCCGGCCCGCGACAGGAGCGGGGACGAGGGAGGCGCGGAGCGGCCGGGTCCCGCAGCAAACGGAGCAAAGGAAGGAACAACCGCACCGCCTGAACGCGAGGCCGGATTCCGCGGGCAGAAAGGAACCGGGAGATCGGCGGGGAGGCAGAGGAGCTCCAGGAGCCAGAAGAAAAAGCAGAACGCGCACACGGAGCCCCGCAGGGTCACCTCACCCCCCAGCCTTGGGGGGCTGGAGCTGCAGCCGGCACCTCCAAGCCCCAGCCAGGAGCCAGCGGGCCCGACACTCGCCCCAGCCCCGCCGCGGCCACCGGCGCTTCCCGGGCGGGGCCGCGCAGCCCCGAGTGTCGGAGCGCGGCCGGAACGCCGCCCACGCACAGCCCG